GCGGGAGTCAGGTCATTGTAGAACTTGACCGTCTCATCACCGTGCAGCTTGTAACCAAGCTCATCTCGAATCTGGGTCAAGAGTCCAGACTCGATGAGGGCAGTAGGGCCTGCATCCACACCAGCTTTGGGCTGTTGCACTACGCGTCAGCAATCGTGTCCGGAGTCCATGGGAGAGTCAAATTGATGGTGTAGAGGGGTATAGATGTTGCGAATGGAGTATAGATAAACATACCTGACCGCCCGAGAAGCCTACGGTGACAATACCAAGGTCCTCGGGGTGAGAAAGGAAGCGGCTCTTGACGGTGCTGGTGTTCATTTTGGGCGATTGGACTTTTAACTGAAGTACGTGTAGGTCCGTAAGAAGTCGGAATTTGCGCGTAAGCCTTAGGAAAAAAATATATGCTATCGGCGGATAGTCCTGGTGCAAAATGCTTCTGAGGAGAGATGCGGAAAAGAAGCTTCGACGAGGCGGGCAGCGGCTGCAGTAGATATAGCACTTCGGGTCACACGGACGCCCCCAATCAAAGGCCCGTTTCTCGTTTCGAATGGGGGCTGCGCCTGCGCCTGCTTTGCTGCTGTCTGAGCGCCATTTGCAAGACCGTGGGCTAGGGCCGTACAATTGGGTAGGTCAAAACGAAGGCGCTCGAATCCATGTGTGCGTGTGTCTCTGACTGGCGGATCGGGCTAGTAACTTAGAGGTAAAGGGGTGTTGAGCAGACGAACGAACTAGTAACTTAGAGGAAAACAGAGACTCTATATAATCAAGTCGCTTTGCTCACCCGTGGAAAATTATTGCTAATAAAAGGCTTGAGTCGGCAATCCGCCGCGTCCGGGGACTCCACCGCGGGGCACGTCCAGCAGCGGCCGGGGCTTGCACATGATGCCGAAGAGAGACGCAGAGCCGATGGTATCACGGGGGTTTCGCGTTGGCTATCTCTTGTCAGATTGGTGATGATTGTGGCGATGCCGTGGTTGCAGTTGGTTGGCCAAGCTGTAGAGGTTTGATGCAAGGAGTTTTTTTCTTATCTCTGAGGGAGTACAGCGCAGCTTGTACCTTCACCGCTCGGCACAGTTTACATGAAGCGCCGGAAAAGGAGAGACATGATAAGTGAGGTACACAGGCTGTGCAGTACACGTATGTATTACTGAGTTCATTGAGCAGGACAAATTCTACTATTTGTCATGGAAATCTCCCTTGGTATACCTAGCCAAAGACTAGCATAGAGGCATTTGCATATCTCCAAACTTCAATTCCCCCATCAGGCTGGTGCATCCCGTCCTCTGTCGCATCCATAACATATCGCTCAGTTTAATGCCCTGAATGACGTTGGAACAGCCCCTCCAAGAGCCGTATCTAGCCTTGCACCTTTCCCTATCGCTTCCTCCACCTGATAAGAGAGGTCAAGTGACCCCTCCGCAGCCAACCAACCGCCCGAATTAGTGTTATGTAATAGCTGTCTCGGGCAGTAAGACATGAGTCAAGAAAACTGAATATTATATTTTCGATAAAATAAATTCGATAAATTCAATAAATTCCCAAGACATAAATTCATTTAATCGACCACAATGATAACCCCCGAGGGCAAGTGGGAGTCGGAGATACGACCACTAGTGCATGGTAGGCAACTGGGCCATAACTCCGAGCCACGGACTAAGACAAAAGGACGCAACTCCCACATCAATCCGTCCAAGGAGTCTAAATTATCTTATTTGCGATTCTATCCTAGAAGAGCAGCATCTATTCCCAACCCAGATGACCTGAACGTTCGATACCGACGCACAGGCAGGGGCACCGGCCACGGACAACGGCCGCTAAAGCAGGAGTCAACGGGATCCGATCCGATCGATCTCAAACCGTCGTCGGCACTCAGGACGGCGCTTTCTGGATTAATACCGCGACGGCTCCAGATTCCAGGGCAAGGATCGCATTGAGCGCAGGATGGCACTTTGCGACGAGATACCCGAGCGCTTCTCTGCGTAGCCTCGATATAAGACGCGGCAGTGCCGTCATTGAGAGGAATTGGAATCACATGCATTAATACTGGTAAATTGCTTAGGTCAGCACACAAAACGTGGAATGCAGTGTAGAGCTGCAGAGGCATCCTAATTCATGTAGAAACTTGAATCTTTCAAAGTAGTAAATATCCAAGTACCTCCCTAGTATTGAAAAGAAAAGGTTGAAATCGCTGCATTAAACTGCCCAATTGATGGAGCGAAATTGTAGTTGAAACACCTTCCAACCCCAACACCCGCTTCGCAGCATCGCCCAGTCAAGCAGAGATGAAGAGTTTGAGTACAAGTCGTACAATTATATGCCCACTTTGGCCGATTTTACTATAGAGTACAGGTAATTGGAATATGTGCCAATATCAACTGGCTGATATGGCGCAAGAGAATATTTAATTCCCTTCGCCCATCCAAGAGCAAGTCAAGCTATCCAGACTTCGGGAAGAGACACCAGTGTTGTCTACCCAACACGCGCATTTCTCAGCAATATAATACGCCAATAGGCACCGGCCCTTAGCTCTTCCGATCCCCAAAAGTCAGCACCTAAAAAAAAAATAGCAAAAAAATAACCATCTTATCTCGCCCATGTGCTTGTTATAGGAAAAGCCCAATGCGGGGGTCGAACCCGCAACCTTGAGATTGCATCAGAACGTGTGCTGCTAAGAGTCTCACGCTCTACCGATTGAGCTAACCGGGCGCTTATTAAGCACATGGGCTAAGCTCATTGGTGGCTTGTTGGAAACCTGACCATGTTATTTCTCACCATGAAGCCTTGGTCACAACAAATCACCAAACGTTGTACGTGACAGAACGAGCGTAGGATATCATCTACTCCCTTAGAGACGTCATCTATTATTTACAATTGCTGCAAAATGATAATTGATCCTGGATCGTTGACACATATACCAAGAAAGCCATAATGGGCTGATAAGGATCTAGACTGGATATATTGGGAGAGTTGAAAAGAGTTGAAGAGTTACCATGCCATTGTGTGGCCAATTCAATCTTATAAATCTCTCCGACATCGTCACACTTTCCTATTTTATCTTGTAGGTCAATTGGTGTAACTAGACTTAACATCAAGATCTTAGTTAATTTAATGTCTTACCTTACCTGTTAGTATAGCTTCCAGAAGCCATGCCGAAACGCACAACTTTGTGTCTGTTTGTGGTGGCTACTGAAGGACTACGGCAACCAACATCTGAATGAAACAGGTCAGTGGAACATCACCCCCACCTGTACGAACTAGCTAAAGGCAGCAGTATCCTATAAGATGGGGCTATTCTTCTTCTTCGGTGTTGTTCAGCTCTGTGTGTCAGCGGCACAGGAATGAAAGCTGAGTACCTATATACTTTTCTCATTGACTCACGTTATTACCTATAGTACCCGGGTAGTGGCAAGACTCATCTAACTTAAATGTCTCCTACTGAAAACGGAAATTTTATTTAATAATTGCATGGATACTTTTGGCCGAGGATCGGGAGAGTCGCTGTCCGCGTATACTGGCCTAATGAAAACACTTCATTAAGAACTAAGGCCCGATGCTTGAATCACCTTGCTGTCTCCCTTATATTCCAGTTGCCAGACAGCGATAGTGATCTCCGATTGTAAGAAAGAATGACGGATCGACTTTACGCAGTTGGAAAAAGGGAGACAAAGTTTGCGGCGCCGACTCTCACGATGGGATATGTCTTAGCAGCACTGTTCGCATGCCGATCCTCGGCCTCAAACCTAGTGTATTTGTAGTTGGATCGGGTCGGCTGTAACCATCGGGTGCGAAATACAAAAAGCGGCGCCCTCGGCGCAAATCAGTGTTCGATTAGTCGCTAAGGCTTTTTATAAAAGCATTCGTCTTCCTTACAACTGGACTGAAGGGCTTCGTAGAGATTGAATCACACAGATAGACAAAAGTTATCTTGTGGCCTAGTGACTAAGTAAACATTGGACATAAAAGCATATAATTGTTTTACAAATAACAACGACGCAATCTACGCAGTCACAAGTCATCATGAGGTGGCCATCAACCGAGATAGTTATCAAACAGTGTTCAATCACTTAGGAGCGGCAAAGCCTGTTGTTACTGCTGTCTGAGCGCCACGCTTCGCTGTCAACAGCAAGGTTGGTAGGCGAAATGGTCATCATAGTTGTCGAATCACACGCGGCTGGTACTGAAAGTCGATTTTAGTGAGGTTATCGAGGAAGGGCTTCATTAAAGCGTTTATACCGGCCAAATCTCTTACGCTAGGCATAGTGATGCCAACAGTGGCAAACTTTGTAGGATCAAGCGTACATGTATACAGAGCACTGTTGCCGGAATCAACTAAGCCAGGAAGTAGAGCGTGAAATGCACCATTAGCATCCCAGAAACGTCATTACCAACCTTGGCATCGTTGAAGGAAAAGGAAGAGCCACCAACAATACTGGTCATAGATATAACAACACTGAAAAATGCCGGCACCGCCACCGCGGAGGGCCCAGTAAAGATCAGAGTTCTGTGTAGGTAAGGATAGTAGCAATCAGATGTGTACCATTAGCAGTGACTGAGGCTGCTGTCCGAACAGTCAGGCATCTGTGTCTTCCTACTGTCTGCCCATACAGCGATCGTCGACGATTCAAGATTGTGAATTGATCTATTCAAACTGGATCTATATCATTCAGAGCAAGCAAGTAAAATTCTGTATGTGGTCGTCTATCCATTCCGTTGTTTCTAGCAGCTTCAACACTTCAGATGAGACAGAGTTCACTCAGCAGCAACATGCAAGCAAGCACGGACTGACCAGGAGAAACGAAGTTGTACCTGGAGGAACAAAATACTACTAGGTAGGTAGCTGCTGGGTAAAAGAGTTTCCAGTAGCACACAAAATAATAAACTTAGGTATATATATGTAGGCGAGAGAGAATGGGCAAGCAGTAAGTAGTAAGGAATTTGGTCAGAGGAGCAAAAAAAGAACCAGCCGACTTGATATCTCGACCAAGTGCTTGTATAGGAAAAGCCCAATGCGGGGGTCGAACCCGCAACCTTGAGATTGCATCAGAACGTGTGCTCTTAAGAGTCTCACGCTCTACCGATTGAGCTAACCGGGCTGGCTTTAGCACGGTTGAGCTCGAAGGCGGCTGGCTGGTTGTTGGAATTGGGGAGAGGCAAATAGCTATAAGAATTTTCATGTGGCTCCAAGTGGGAAAAAATGCGGCTCACCGAGGGGCTCCAATTCGGTGAACAAATCTCATTGGATGCCACTAGTGCTAGCTAGTGATGTAACCTGTCCATATTAGGTTACTGCTGAAATGCTTGTTGATCCTCCCTTATATCCGAGTATGGGACGCCTCTTGTTAAAGTGTCGCTCAGTGAAGCATCGAGCTGCTCATACTCTGCTTCGAGCTCTTGCTTCTCATTGCACCTCTGCGAGGCCTCGAAATCATCTAGCATATCTTTCCCTTCTCGGATACGAAATTATACTTGTTAATGTCGCCATGCTTGATACCTAGAGAGTGTAGCCGAGAGAGGATTTCTTGGCAGGCCGCCAGGTCTCCGGTGTCAGCGAACCTTGCGCCGCCAATGTACTCCATAACGAGACCAAAGACCCTCCCAGCCTCGGTCAAATGAGCGATGAACTTGGGGCCGATTCCATGACTATTGGACCATTCATACGCTATTATTTCGGCCTCGAAGTAGGGCATTTGCCAGGGGAACTTGGCAAACTTGACAACCAAAGTTTGATCAAAACGCGGATGCGTAACCACGTGAATGTTCTGCCGTAGTTGACGGACCTGCTTGAACTCTAGATGATCGATACGCTCCCTTTTCCTCGTCATTCCAATCGACAAGTACTGATAACAGCTGGACATTGCTATTGCGGGCGGGCGTCATTGTGGGGTTTCAACGAGGAATGAGTAGTAGATTACGGGTATTCGTATATTCTTAAAATGGAGGAAGACGAAATGATTGGAGACAGAAGTGGCCAAAGGCCTTTCGCACCAGTGAAGCCATCAGCCAACTGTCAACTGGCTGAAGGTACCTTGATGACCTTTGGCACGTATCACGAAATGGTCACAGCTATTCATCTGCGTAGACGAAGTTGTTGGCTATGGCGATGCGGAATGTCCATAAGAGGTTAGCGTGACTCTGTTGTCGATTCTGAGCGCGAGTTCAATAGCAGCCGGGCTTCACAGCACTAATTTCATATTCGATATGAGGCTCAAATCCAGGATGCTCAAAAAATTGAAAGCCCTACTGAAAGCTTAGGGCGGGTCTGATCTTCCCTGGAAATGGAGCTTCTAATGATCAAATCATTACATCATGACTTTATGACTTGGACTCCATTGTTGTTTAGAGGTGAGACAAATAAAATAATACCTCAAGCTGTAGGGTAACGGTAACCCGAGAAAACAGCCTGTCCGTGAGCGTGTTGAATGCTTGTTAGTTCTCTTTCCAGAGGTGTTTACGTGTATACGAGCAGCTCGGGAAAATTACTGAAAAATAACCAAAGTCAATTGCTGCTCGTGCGGAGTAGTGCGGAGTAGCGCCGCACGTATGAATCTCGGAATTCCATGTGCTGTTGCTTTTTGATGATTACGAGTATTTATACGGGCTCGTATATGCATCTCCATAGCTGCTGTGATGTTATTTTAGATAGATGAACATACGTCTCTGATCTAGACATTTACTAATAAGCTGTTTAATCACTTACAAGCCAAGCTATCAAGTCGTACGTACTTGGAGTGTCACACGGAGCATCTGTTTGGCTTTCCAGAGTAGCAGCCCGTCATCCTCGTGCAACATGGCCACACCCATCCGCCTACGATCCTGACCTCATAGCAAGACCCATCGCCAATCGGGAAAACGCACGAGACGCCGTCGACAAGGCGAAATTACAGGGGGCCTCTATCGTAGACCGCTGGGACTAAGCACATGTAATTGAAATCCGTCAATCAATAGCTCCAGCGAGTCCCTCTTTAGGCACCCGGGATCCCAATCAAGCGCCGCAACCGTCTGGTCGACCCTCTAAAATGCTACATAACCCACTCGGCAGTACAACGCGCTACCAGCAGCCGGGCAGTCAGGGCTTGTGTAACGAAAGTAGCGTCGGATCTGTCTTGCAGAGAGCTTATTCTTTTCTTATCTTGAGAAGACGTGCTGCGCCACCTCACAGACCTGGGGAAAAACCACATGGCCAAAGTGTGGGCATGTCCGTGGTTGGCGGAAGCTGGTCGCTAAATGGACGTCTCTTCGCGTTGGGCGACTTCTGCATGCCGGTTGCTGGTTGAGGAAAAAACCACGACTGGGCTTACTGCAAGTGTCTCCATGGCGAGAAGAAAAAAAGCATGGCCCCGGGCGAAAGGGTGGGGAATGAAATAGTACGAGTGCGAATCACCGTTGGTGATGGTATCTCACACGGATACAAGGAGCTCCTTGCAAGGAAAAAAACATGGCTTTGAGCTTAGCGGATAGCGGCAATCGGGACAGAGCAACGCGAGGTAACATGAAGTCAGAAAACTTTCCGTCTGCCCTATGTATGTCCTAGGCGGAGGGGGGACAAGTGCTGTACGAGTCTCGTAATTGAAAGACTCGGACTCGTAATGGCACGGACGGAATTGAGTGTGTGGTTCCGCTGCTGCTTATTGGAGGCGTTTTTTGTCTTTTTCGCCTGCTTCGGTTGTGGTTCCAGTCTTGCATGTCCTGGCCCATGTCATTGGAGGTTGCGTGCTCGCCGCACAATCCGCTAAAATTTCTCGAGGATTTTCTTTCGCAATGGTGCTGTACTTGTATGGTGCAAGTGCAAGCATGTCGCGACAACGGCTGGGGCCATGCAGAGTGGAGCTGAAAATGATTGAGCTGGGGCTACGGAGCAGTTAGAAGAGGAGGGATCGTCAGCTCATTAGCGAGTACAGTATTTGCAGCAGGATTATCTGTCAAGGTGGACGGATGGGATGGATGCGTGGTTTTGATTCATGTCAGGGTTCGCTCCCACTCTTTCTTTTTCATGGCTTCTTCACTAGTTCGCAGGTCAAAAAAGAAGATGTCATTGATTTTGATTTGACAGGGAAGCAGTCTGGTGTGATGAGAAACAGAGACATGCATGCTGGACGGACGGGTGCGAGGGTTTGAAGCAAGGGAGAGAGTTCCGGTATTAGTTTGTCCTGCAGGCACATGAGTTGCCATCATATTTTCTCGTGCTGTGCTAGGTTGCTCGTACTATCGTCTACTGCTAGCAGTACCTGCAGTATTATCGAATATTTGCGGCTGACATGGATCAACGTCAATGCTTACAGCTCATATTAGGGAGTGCATGCCATCAATCGATGCGATCGAAAAGCATCCATCAAATCAATCGCCCGTGTTTCATTAGCAGCGGCGCTCGGTTAGGCTATTTGCGGGCAGCCTTATCGCGCTGGGACGTTCAAGGTTGACCTAATCAACTAAACCAATGCTGAAGACGCTGGTGCCACCCCAAAGCTCCAGCGCAACCACTAGCGAGCGTAATCATGTCAGGGGTTACAGAGACGTTATGGGTCGTCTTGGCACCGGCTTTAGCTCGCTGCGAAATGGCACAGAGCGGGTTTGGCGAATCAATGGGCGATGTGGCCAATCTTGCCGCAAGCGTCTGCCCAGGTAATTTGCCCGCCTCCGGGCATCTCTGCGAAATTAGACTTCTGCCTCTTCAATCTCTTCTGCTGTCTTGGGCTGATCCTGCAGGTCGGATGATGATGCGGCGCCTGTAACGACTCCAGAGCGCCCGAACCGAACTCGTCCAGCCCGCCAACGCCTTGCCTTGCTTGTGCCCTTGGCTCGAAACTTCGACCTTCTCTTCTCTTTCTCCTCTCTCCCTGTTGACCGGAGACAGAGTCCAGTCCAGTCCAGTGTTTCGGGACCAGTCGCTCGTTATCAATCTCTCGAAGCAGCCTCCTGGTCTTGTGCGCTTCTTGGCACGCCCGGATGCGTTGAGACTTCCTTTTTTCTCTTGGATATTCTGCCCCTCCGTCATCCAGCTTTAGGCCGAACGCCAGCCGCAGCAGCGCAAGCACGCGCGGCCAACCTTCATTCATCTCTAGCGATCCTCCGACGCCGCGTTTTTGCCTTGAGGATTCTTTATAACGTTACAAAAAGTACTAGTAGAGCATCACAACCTCTCCCAGCCAGACGCCCATCATGAAGATGCTGTCGCCCGGATTTCCGATGCGGCGGTCGTCCGGCCTGGTGCGGTACGGCGTCTTGGCGGCCATTCTGCTACTGGCCTTGTACACCTTCAGCCACAGCTCATCAGACATCTCTCGCCTACCGCCTTTACCAGCAGGCCAGGCCGTGCCAGGAAAACCATTGCAACCCCCAAATTCAAATCCCGCCGGCAACGAGGCTCCTGTCATCCCAGGAGGCGCAAAGGCACCCGTCGCGACGGCGCCAGCGTCCGAGGGAACCACCAAGCCAGACTCTGATAACCAGGAGCCTATCCACAACTCTCTTCCTCCGCTCGGCCCTCCACCCACCGCCGGCGGCCACCCCATTGACAAGCTCGTATACGATGCCCAGATGACGTTTGCCGAGCTGACCTCGAAGGAATCCAAAACGGTGGAAGAGGCTGCTCAGGCCTACCGCAAGCGCCGTGGCCGCCACCCTCCACCCGGCTTCGACAAGTGGTTCGAGTTTGCTCGCTCCAAGAATGCAGTCATTGTTGAGGATTTCTTCGACCGCATCTACCAGGACCTCCAGCCATTCTGGGGTCTTGACCCGGCTGTCATCCGTAAAGAGGCGTGGGACTTTGAAATGACAATCAATATCCGCGACGGCAACGCCACTGCGCGAAGTGACTTCTTCTGGACCAAAATTTGGCTCAAGATGATCAAGACAATCGACCACTTGCTGCCAGATATGGACATTGCACTCAACGCCATGGACGAGCCCAGGCTGGTTGTCCCGTGGGAGGAAATGGCCGGTTACATGAAGAATGCATCCAAGACGATCAAGATGCCCAAGTCCAAGAACGTCATCAGCGAGTTCCAGAAGCTGCCTCGCCCCGGTACCGGCGACGTCGAGGTCAAGACGCGCTCCAAGAACTGGGAAAAAACAAGTAGGTTGCTCTCTCAGGATT